TGTTACAGCATCAGTCATCCAGACTTTAAACAACAAGTTCAAGATAAGAAAGGCAGTGACTCATCAAAATGACGCCACGGACATTGCCACACGATTCACTTATAAAAGAGGAAGGTAATAAAATTATGAATTATAATCTCTCAGGATTTATACCTTCCCAACTGGTTTACATGTCTTGGGATAGTGAACAGGAACAGATCAGATAAAAAAAAAAAGGGAATTGATAAAAACTGGTGGTGTATGGATACATACAATAAAGGAATCATAAATAACCAAGGTATTAGCGTGATTAGTGAATCCCACTTTGTTACAAAAAGCATCTTCTCCCAGAGGTGTATAAATCCTACAAACTCTCAATCAATCAATCAATCGTAGGGTTCTCACAAGACCGGGTGATATGGATATATAAATTAGTGGGATATATTTAGCCTGGGGTGGGAATGTATATTTTATTTTACACTGTGTAAAATTATGTTTATTAATATATTACACTGGAGTCTGGTACCCTCAAGTGTATTTAGAAGATTTCTATATACACACCTTTTATATTGGACTTTATTATGAGGTCAGTGTTCTGAGATTGGGCCTCAGAGTGGAAGAATTCAACAGATATACACATTTGTTAGCCTTTGTTTTGTTGTTTCCAGCATCAAGGGCCCGAGTGTGTTTATGTATGACTATGTGCAATAGGAAGTGTGTATATGTGTCAATATGTTTCTGTTTGAATACTTACATTAGTGTGTCTGTGTTTTGTATGAGTTTGTGCACATATGTGTCTGTGTTGCTCTGGTCATGTGTGCCTGCTTCTTTCGTTACATGGTTGTGCTTTTATGTGTGACTATGTGTCTATATGTGTCATATATGTGACTAAAGGCCTAGGCCTTTTCAGGCCTGCCAAGTATGGCAGGTCTTAATATAGGGTATGGGAGGTAGTTGATTGGGGTTGGAGCTGATGGTAGGCAGGTCTCTTACGCTAATAGTGACACCATATGGTTGAACGGAATCAAAAATTTTTTTTGCTGAGATGGGTGCTTTTAACCCCTTCAGGACAGAGTCAATATTACACGTTCTGATCAAAACAAAATGTAAACAAAAACTGGAATTTGTGCTATATGTCTGTTCAACCGTAGTTCACCTCTTTCATATTATATGCTTATTATATATCACATATATATATATATTTATATTATATAACACTTATTATATATCAGTTTGTTCAGGAGAAACAGGGCTTTCATTTCATATCAAATATTTGTATATGAAACATAATTTATTATGAATAAAATAAAACTGTGAGAAATGTAATTTAAAAAAAAAAAAATCTGTAGTTCCGCCTCACATTTTAGCTGTAAATGTCATAATACTGTTAGCTTTTACTGCAAAAATGTAGCCCCATGTAGCCAAGCGCAGCTAAGCGGAAAAAGGCCTTGACAGGGGTTAGGAGGCGGGCCTAGGAGGAAGTAAGCAAGGGAGTGGAGTTATGGGTAAGTGGGTTTGGTTATTTAAATGGGCAGCCATTTTAGTTAATTCATTTTAACTTCCTACCTGGTTAAGTTTGTGTTCGCTCCTGTGGGCACAGATTTGGCTTGGTAGGGTTTTTTCCTTTTTGTCTCCCTGCAGGGCCGATGGATGAAGTGGAGCGACTGCTGGAGCGGATCCGGTCGGCGGCGAGGCACCAGGGGGCTGACTGGCTGAAGGCCCAGTTAGGCCCGGCCCTGGCGGCGGCGGAGGGCCAGGACGGCGGCGGACGACGGCCTGTTCGGGCCAGGAGGCCTCCGGAGCGGCTAAGCCCGGGTGTGGGACCCGGTGAAGACATCCCTGGTGGTCCAGGAGGCTCCGGTGCGGGCGGCAGCAGGCCCGGCAGCTGCGTGGTAGCGGCCCCGCCTCCCCGCGAGCGGCCGGAGCCTAGGACCAGTGCCCGGCGCCGGGGGGACGGTCGGGACGGGGCCGTCGCGGCTGCCGGGTCGGACGTGGCCGGGCGGTCCCCTGGAGGAGCGGGCAGCATGGAGCTGCGGCCCGGGAGGGCGCGCGCTCCGTCGGAGGCGGAGATCGACGGGGCCGGGACCGGGAGGACACGTGGCCGGTTCCCGGCCCCAAAGGCAAGTGCAGGGGGCTCCGGCCGGGGCCCTCTTGGCGGGAAAAGTGCTGGGGGGGTCCTGTCAGGGGGCGGAGGGCGGAGGGCCCAAGTGGGGGGTGGGAAGGCCTCCCAGGGACCGCGGGTGGTGGATGGGGAGGGCATAGGGGTCATAGGTGGGGGGAGTAGTGGTAGGGGTGGGGGGGTTGTGGGTGAGGAGGGACTGCTGGGCTCCCCCAGTAGGGGAAAGGGGGCCTCCTTGGGCTCTGGGGCTAGGCCGGTGCGGGTAGGGTCGGGTAGGCCTGGTTTAGGGGTTGGGGGGGCCAGTCTGGTTGAGGGGGGTCTAGGTCCCCTTAGTCTGGGAGCCAGTTCAGGTGGGGGGTTGGGCTCTAGCCGGAGGGGTGAGCGTTTGGGGGTGCAGGGTAGTAGAGAGGGGGGGTCCGGTTCAGGGTCCTGTAGTGGTAGTCCCTCTCCGGTTCGGGAAGTAGAGCCACGGGGGAAGAGGGGGGGGAGGGGGAGGTCCCGGCAGCGCCGCTCTAGGTCAGGGAGCTCAGGAGAGAGCGGGTCTAGCGTCCCCAGGGGTGGTCGGCGGGGACGTATGCCCGGGGAAAGCAGGAGGAGCCGTAGCCCTAGGGGCTCCCGCGCGCGGCGTGTGCAGGGGGCACAGCGGGAGGCTTTGGCAAGGGGCAGGCGCTCCCAGGGTCGAGACGGGGGGGATGCGAATACTCAGTGCACCCTACCCAGGACTTCTTCTCCTCTTTCCAGGTCACGGAGCTGTTCCATATCGACACGGGCAAGGCACCGGTTTGGCTCCCCGGTTGGCGAGGTATCGGCAGGAGTCGCTCTCCCTGGACATCGGGCAGTCGACGACGCAGCCCCTGCCGCGTCAGTTGCAGGGGGCTTGGCCGGTGAGTCTTGTGGGTCACTACACTCCAGTTCCTTGGTTAGCACACTGCAAGCACTGCTCCACTCGCTGGGGGCGGGGGGTGACACGGGGGGTGGCGCTGGT